TTTAATATCATGAAAAAATTCAAATTTACTTCCTAATTAAATTGACAATCACACTACCTTATATACATATTTACACATACACATAGTACATACAATGAAATAAATGAAAAATTAATATTTCTCCATTAATTAACACATCATAGCCAACTAAAGGGTATTATAACTTTTGTGCTTAATTTTGGCCATTTTAATGTAATAAGCTTAAGACTTTAATTACAAGTCGAGCTGAAATGCACCTATTATGAAGATGCATTTTGTCCACACAGGCAGATAAATATACAATCTATCTATTCATATATATTTAATATGAATGCATTTAATTGGTAAGCTAAAACGTTTGAAATGTGTGTGGAGACCAGAGGGATTAAGCCTTGGGAGACGAGAGACTGGAGACCCGTTTAAGTAGCAGCTTATGACATTTACAATTCGAGTTGCCACTTCAGCAGGCTGTCTCTAATAAAATAACGCTTCAAATGTTGCACGTAATTGCCGTGTCCTTTTGCAGTTATGTCTAGTTACATCTATGTGTGTCTGTGTCTGTGACTGTGTCTGCCTCTGCCTAATTGCCGCAAGTAGACGTATCCGGGCTTGTTTGATTTTAATTGGTTTAAGCGGAGCATTTTCCCAGCTAAGCAAAGTGGCTAAAGTTACTTGCAGCCAGCTAACTTGGCTAAGTAATCGAAAGCGCCTTAAAGTAAGCTAGCAGTTAAAAGTGTATTAGAGATGACAGCGTGCTTGGAGAAAATATTGATATGTATCATCTATAGATATATATCTACAGATCAATAGAGTTCCGAGTTTCAATGAAATATTACATTTCAATATATCTTTTCATTCCACTCTCAAAAACTAATAATATTTTTAAATTAAAGCATATTCTTAAATTAAAACAAATTTAGACAACAATATAAAGCAGAATAAAAAAAGCAGAATAAAAAAAAAAAAAAACAAAAAAAAAAATATCGATATACTTATCGAACAAATATTAAGAGATTAAAAAGAAAATAGTTACGATCTAGCATTAAAATAAATTGCTACTCATTCGCCAAACTATCAATCGTGACAAGAATATATTTATGTTTATATATATATATTCATATTTACATACATTTATCATAAACAGTTTGCAATCAAATCGACACACTTATCGATGATTTCAAGTTTATTTGCTGAGTTTCCTGTTGTACATATCAGAAATGCATAATTATTGCATATTGTGTTCCGTCAAGGAACAACACGCGTCCATCCCCAGCTCAACCAGTATATTAATAAATGAAGTCCTGCCTTCACCGTTCCACACGGCGTATGAGTAACCAATGCTGTAGCCCGGCACGAGAGCGGCAGCTCTGCAATTATGTGCAACTAGCTGCAACGCATAAATTTTCTGCATTATAATTGAACCAGAGGCCAATTCTAACTTAGAGCCAAAGCCACAGGCCCGAGCAACCGGACGGACTGAAGGAATCGATGTGGAGCAGCCCGAGAAGCAATCATTAATTATATGTGGTGCATAGGTCAATTTCTAATTGGTGGCTAGCAGGTGGAGAAGCAGTTGCTCCAAATATGTTTGCATTGGGCACTTTCCGTTGACTCGGATGACTAATAAACAGCCCAAGCAACTCGATGAGAATTCTATATACAATTAGGCTGATTGTTTGAATGCTGGTTTTATTGCTGATTGGCTCAGAAGGAGGCAAGAAATAGTTATTCACGTGGTTTCCTAACTGTAAAACCAAAATATATATTAATTTATGAAAGATATTTATACAGCTAAATCTATATATCATTCGTATTACCTATGTATATTTAGAGAGTAAGTACTACCAGGAAAAATCAATTTTTTTTTTCTCAATTTTAATGAAATATATCAATGCTCAAATTCTAAGCTGTAGTTACAAACGATTTCATAATTCAAAATACCCTTCTGCGTTTGACATTTCGAAGTGCCGTCTATAGAAAAAACTTGCATTTGCAATTGACAAAGCAAAACATTGTGCAAGCGCCTAACTAAGTGAAGCAACTTGAGTAGCTCAATCTATGTCTATATATGTATGTGAGTACACACACGTTTATCTATATATAGCCACTCTAGCTGTAGTTACCGATTCGTGTTCATGTTGAGCAATCGAGCGACTGAACAATGCAAATAATTGTCAAACATTGCACAAAGGAGCATGAAGAGCCAAAAAATGAGAAAAAAAAAAATAAAAACGAGATGGGGAAAAAGTAAAGAACAAAGTATGCCCACGATGGGGGAAGCGTATGATTTTTATAGCGCTGCCAACAGGCATTGTGCTAAGTTGTGGAAAATCAGAAAAACGCGCCAAGAAAACTGCGCGGAAAACTGGGAGGAAAACTTTAGATGCTGCCTGCTGATTGTCTATGCTGTTGTCCCCTCTTAATCGCGTGCAAACCCAAGTGAAAAAGGTGCACATTATGTGTGTATGGTCGCAGGGGAGAAGGGGGAGCGGGGAAGTAGTGAGGATGGGGAGAGGCTGGAGCGAGGGAACGATTCTTACGCTGTCATTGGCTTTGCACATTTGAATGAACGGTTAGTCCTTTGATATCCTAGTGTCCTAGCATCCCCTCTATTGCCGTCTAACTACCCAACATGACAATGAAAGTCAATAAATTTGATTTGACATTTGTCTGAGCTGCCCTCTCCTCGCCAGTAGCCTCTTGCAACCCCGCCCACATTTTTCCCTCTGACAATTCCTTGCGCTGATTCAGCGTATTTGCCTTTCGCTGCGAATGTAATTTTATTATCCCAGCCTGACAAAATGTCACACATTCAGTTTTTTAATGAGCAGAATCGTTGTGAAGAATGAGGGAAAACGAAGTGGGATGGACTAGGGCGTAGCTAACAATAGGGACAGGGACAGGGGTAGGGATAAAGATACAGATAAAGATACAGATAAAGATATAGATACAGATACAGATACAGATACAGATACAGATACAGATACAGATACAGATACAGATACAGATACAGATACAGATACAGATACAGATACAAAGACTCAGCCTTAAGTAATAGAGCCCTAAAGATCTGTCACCCATTGCAATTCAGCCCAAACCCTACACTGTTGCTGGCAGGCATCTTGCCAAAATACAACTACTTTGACAATTTAAGCAACACTGCTTCTGTGTGGCATGGCTCATGCTCGTTGCTCCTTGCTCTCTATGCCCATGGTTTTTGTGCCCCAGCCTCTATCGTTCTATCGCTTGTTTCTGTCTGGTGACAGTTTTTTAAATGGCTGTTTCCTCTTCCGTTTCCGTTGCGTTTGACTTGCCTGCACGTAAATTGTGTGCCATTTGAGTCAGTCGGTTTCCGTTTTTGTGTATACCCTGTGCTCACGGATTGCAGCTGGAAAAGGAGATTTTAAGCAGATAGTTTATGGTATAAGCCATTGTGATGATACGATTGGATCAGCTACAGTGATATTCATTAGAGCTGCATATTTTGATATACGATTTTTGATTTTTTCAATCGATTAATATCGATACATAATTTTTTTTATATTTGTTAGGAAAAGAAAAGAATTTTGTTGATATTTGCAGCTGAGCACAGGGTATCTTCCAGTCGTGCACTTCCTCCTTTTATTTGTCTTTACGCCTGTGTCTTTTGTCGCTGATGTTGGCGGTAAATTTTACTACAATGCATTTATAATCTTTTTCACTTATCTTTGCATAGTTTCCTCTTGCGCTGGCAAAACTTTTTACGGTCTCAGGTTAAAAGTGGCATCATACATTTCCAGCAAGAGCCTGCGCTACCCCTACACCCGCCCCATGCAACCTACCCCCGCACTACCCGTACTCAAGCATTGAGAACTAACTCGTTGAAATGAATGAAAACTTGCAAAAAGGTTGCGACTGCAAACGCAATTCTCTGCTCAACACTCGAGTTTTTAACCTGTCGACAATCTTTTGACAGATTTATGAGTTAATTACGCGGCGCAGCGATATTTTGCTAGAGAATTCATGAATGGCGACACCTAAGCTCAGATTTATTTGAATTTGTTTTCTGGACTGACAGATCTCTGGGTTAGTTATCACATCACAACAAATAAATGTATATATATATAT